GTACCAGCGTGCAATAGCCGACAAAGCCAGCTGCCTGCTCAGGTCCGGAGGACATTCTGCTACGGATCCACGGGGATGAAGGTCCCTACTTCAAGAAACGAAATCTGCTGGTGATGTCGTTGAGTTTTCCTCACAATCATGGTGTGCCTCGAATGCAAACTTAATTACAGCATCTTCATCAAAACATGGTGTTGCCGTTGATATCTATGCCACATGTGCCCAAGGACACGATGATGACCCGCCTCGCGATGTGCAGCTCGGCCACTGAAACGTATTTGTTTGCACGTGAGGCTAGATCTTCGCTTCGATCGTTTGCATTCGTTCAAGGCGCCATTCCTGGTCATTTGCTGGTTTCGCGGTCGAGATTCCCAAAGGCACGAACAACCGTCGATGAAATTATGCAAATCCTGGCAGAAGACTTGAAGGGTTTGCGCTCACGACTGAATTCATGTCGTTGCTTCTGTTCGTATAAAAGTAGATCTACATAGTGAGCCCGATCCTTGATTGGGCATTCCACTCAGGTGTGTTGAGATTAATGGCACGCGGAGGCCAGTGCGTTTCTTCGGTATGAAAGGAGATCTCAAGTGGCACCAACAAGTTTTCAAGTTGTCCGTCACTCAGAGAGGTCGTGCACATGTACGTAAATACCTCGAAAAGCGCATCGCATGTCAGTGCTATGTGATCAGAATTTGCAACCAAGTCCTCGCCATTGGAAGGGGAATGGAGCAGCACGTGGAAACAGGATCCACGCATTTTCTTGTACGGTGACATACTAAGTAAGTGAATGAATAAATGAATAGATAAATAAACCTATAAGCCTATAAGCAAATATATTTGGTGAATGAATAAATAAACAAACATTTTTACATACGTATATACAGGTTCTTATTTTTATATGTCACGCGACTGCGATTGTCTGCAATGTGCAGGATGTGTCACATCTGCAAGTGGCTTTTCTGAAGACTGGCATTTGTTCTTCATCATCGCATATTAGGTGGCGGAGTGCTGGTAGAGTGCTTTGATGCTCGGGGCTTGAGGCTCGCCAGCACCGAAGACCCGCGAGACGGGCCGACATATCTGGCTGCGGGCTCCGTGCATTATTTGAATCTGCATCCTGATTCGGGCTGGCGCGATAGCGATGAGACCGCAACGGAGCACTGTTGATATATGGATTTCTTTATTGCACTACTAGTGCTCTCGTCTCTGCGCTATCCTGCCTGAAACTAAGGAGTTTCGCCAGACAATGAGCAGCCTGCAAGTGCCACCACCTATCGTCAACATGGATGGGTTCACGAACTCTTTGATTTTTGACGACACGCTTCACGTCGCCTATCGTGGATTCGCTCCCGATTTTTTGGCGAGCACCTTAATCTGCATCTTTGGCCGCGGCATGGCGTTGCAAGCAGCGTGCAATATGGCTGGTGATTGGGCGCGGGCGCGCGGCTACTATCTGAGCATTGACGAGTTTAGCTTGTCGGACGACAAGTTTCCGTCGCTCAATGCTAAGGGCTGGGAGATCAAGCTCCTGTGCCTTTGGATAGCCGCTTTCTCGCATCAATTTTCAACAACTGCAGATTCAAACTTAATAAATGCTTTTGGGCCTTTTGCCTTACAATTGAGGCTGAGATCGTTCCAGCTTATGCGCGATCAGAACAGGCTTCCTGGGATCGCCAGTTTGCTTACGTTCTCTCAATGCGCCTGGTCTCTATGGTTTTTGCAAGAATTCAAATTCACTAGGATGGGGTTCAGAAAATTT